AGAGAGAGAGAGAGAGAGAGAGAGAGAGAGAGAGAGAGAGAGAGAGAGAGAGAGAGAGAGAGAGATTATTAAGGATTATTAAATAAGCACTGAACGAAGAATTTCAATTTCCAGCGTATTCCATGGCGACCTATGCGAGGGGCGAAACGGATAGCACCTCCGTATTCAAAGCTGCCACGGGCTCGGTTGAGGAGCTCTAAGCAGACGCGCATGATGTGCAACATGACCGATGAGGCTGTCCCTCAACTCTTTCCCTAACGCTAGGGCGCACGCAGCATCATCCTCAGGAGGCAGCGGAGGAAGAGGTGGCCCTCTCCGGGGTACACGTCGTCTGCGGCGGGGCCTGCTGACAGTGTCCGTATCATCGCTGCTGCTGTCATCACACAACAGTTTGGGATCGATCTACACCTTCAACCGACCCCGCCAGCAGCAACAGGGCATCCGACATGCCCGACACAAAGATCTGAAGCGCGGCCGCCGCTTCTATGACTGCCATAGCCATGACGTTCCTGTGGTTCATCCACTGCAAGAGGATGAAAACCAGCAGGAAGGTCGAATCATCCCAATTGTCCATGGCCGTGTCCGTCGTTGTAGCGACCGCCTACACGGGACCACCAGGCAGGCAGGCAGAGCAAATTGTGCGTGCAACTGCTCGCCACTTCGTTGTAGCAAGGGAGAGGTTGAAGGGGGCGGCAATGGAGCTGGAATGCTGACGACGATGGTGGACAGGAGGAGGATGCACAACGCGCCTGCCGACGCGGAGACGTACTTTGAGCGCCGAACTGAATTTCAATATATGGGGAAATGTTAAAAATTAAAAAACATATGTTTGCGGGGAGCACCTGCAAATGAACAAACGTCCATCTCCCCAACGGTCCGTCCGCATGCCAAACGGGTGCATGGACGGGCCCAGCACAGCCACGGCCTCCGGCGGCGCAAATACGTTGGGAGGCCTGTCACACAGCGTCCACCAACCGTCGCTCGATGTCGCTCGCCGGAGTGGGCCGGTTGTTCCTGCGGTCCTTGCAAAAACGCACGGACATTGCACTGCTTTCCTTTTCCGGAAGGGCCAACCATGCCTTCCTTTTACGGAAAGGCAACAACCCTGTTTGCCGCAAAACAGAGTCCGTGGTGGGATCCCCAAAAAATCTTTTCCGAGCTTTCCAAGATGCTTTGCCCGCTTCTCGTGGGAAAACCACTTTTCCATCGGCAAAGCTGTGGGGTCCAACTCGAGTGCTCACTCGAGTTTCAAGTGAAGTGCTGTGGAACGAGGCCCTATGGCCGAGAACAGAGGAGAACTCCCACTGCGAGTCATTGTAAGTAAGGAATTCTTCAGTGTATGCAATCAAATCCCCAAAGGGGAAAAAAGTAGAAACGGCTGTGGACCCCCAAATTCTTCGAGCAACTGCCCCGAAGAACCCCAGTGGAGCACAACCCTAAGAATTTCGGTACATGTATATTGGGACTGAAAAAATGGACTGCCGCTACGCTCGTGATAACCCCTGCAATTGCCGGTAGGTGGAGCCCCGCCCCGTTGACGCGGAGTTCCCCCCTCTGGGCAACGGCGGTCGTCACGCCGCGCCGTGGCGTTGCGCTGGTTGGTCCGGCCGAGGGACCGCACACATTGGGGGGCCCCAATCGGTATCGCGATTTTGCGACCACTACAGGGCGCGTCCGGTGTTTTTTCATTTTCACTGCGACGCCCCGCCCCGCCCCCGCCCCGCCGCGCCCCGCCCCGCCCCGCCGCGCCGTTCTTCGTCACGCTCTCTCTGCCGCCCCCTTCCCCGCTTCTGCGAGCCCACCGTTCGCGGCTGAGCCGTGCCGTGCCGTGCCGCGCCGCTCATCGCACCGGCTCATCGGCGTGACTGCAGGCGGCGGCTTCACCGTCGATCTCTTTGCTTTCATCGGCTGATAAAGGTGGCGGCGGCAGGGCAAACAATCATATTCATATTCCTCGTGAGGACAAGCAGAGGTGAGTTCGTCTTTCCTGTTTGGTGTTGTTGTCCACTGGTCGGGTCGTCGGCATCTTCTCCTTTCACTCCCCCTCTCGTCCGCGATCGGGATCGCCGGTCATGTCGCAATCGGGCATATTCATTGAAGATAAACTCTTCAAGTAGCTTGGGTGGTTGTCACTCACAGTTAGCATCGGAGCCCTTTCCATTTTGCCTCCGCTTCTACTCTCTCCGTCTCACAAACACTTTGACTAAGTCGTACGCTGACTCTAGTCGCAGGTGCTAGTCGACTTCGCTGTAGCGGCGTTCACACCACTAAGTAGTAGAGCGGCAGCGGGCCTGGACTGTAATCTCCAAGGCAAAGGTGGAAATTGCCTCCGCTCTTTACCGTCGTACTCCTTTGAGTGAACCAACGAACGTGCTCAGGACAGGTGTTTCATGACAACGATGTCCATGATAGGCGTTTAATGACACCTCACCTATTGTCGTCGTGGTGGGAATGGTACGCGCGGGGAGCAGGGGATGTGGCTCGCACGAGCGAATCTGGGAGAGAAGAGAAAGAGGAGGGAGAGAACGGATCGTTTGCGCACACGGGTATCGGGGGCAAAGCGCTAGCGAAAACGGGCGAAGCGGTGGGCAGAGGAAGTAGCAGCTGAGAGGGATGATGAACAATCAAATACTGTAGGAAAAAAGGATGCGTTGCCGAAATGTGGTTTCTGGACAGGGGTTAGCAGTTCTGGAGGTTATAGAAAAGGGGGAGTTTGCAGAGGAGGCAACCATTTATCTATCCATGTATCTAGCTATCTATTCATCTATCCATCTCTCTCTCTCTCTCTATTTATCTACACATCCCATGCATCTATACGTCTATCTATCTACCTATCCTCCTATCTATCGACCCATCCACCCATGCATCTATACGTCTATCTACCTATCCTCCTGTCTATCTACCCATCCACCTATCTATCTATCTATCTATCTATCTATCTATCTATCTATCGATATATCTATCTATCGATATATCTATCCATCTGATCTATCTATCTATCCATCCATCTATCTATCTATCCATCTTTCCATCTTTCCATCTATCTATCTATCTATCTATCTATGTCTATTCTTTATTAGGATGCACTATCCATCTCTCTCGCTTTGTATCTACGGCGTGAAGAGAGGAAGCATAGGATGGATACGCAGATGCATGTTTGCATGCATGAATGCATGCATACGTACTCCGTACCACAGACAGCCACGTATGCGTGTGCGCACGTGAGAGAGAGAGAGAGAGAGAGAGAGAGAGAGAGAGAGAGAGAGAGAGAGAGAGAGAGAGAGAGAGAGAGAGAGAGAGAGAGAGAGAGAG